GAAGCAACATAAATGGCTATGATGCCAGCTGCTACTTTTTTGTGATCATCATGCGGAATTAGATCATCATTACAAATAAGCATTATAATGTTCACATAAATGATGCATTTCAGTAAAGGTTCTGTGATTGTCACAAGAACATAATAATAATAGACGTGCATATATTTCCATGTGGTAGAATACTACTAATCTACACTGGACCAACAAATTAAGCGAGGACAAGACAAAGAAATATATCTAGCGTTGCATATTATAATTAAACGTCCATGGTTATATCTATTCAAGCTATACGTACGAAGACGCCATCTAGTCAAGCACTACGAACTGAGAGAAATAATTACATCTTCCAGTATAGCTTCAGACACTTAACCTATCTTTAGGGCCTGTTCGGCAACAGCCTAGCTTCCCAAACTCCTCAACTTCTACTCCTCACTTCGGTTTTCTAGTTTCTCACAGTGATGGGAAAATGTTCGGCTGCGCACCTCATGCTTCTCATCGCTGGCATGGGTTGACAACCCATTTAGATGGGCTGAAGCCCGTTTGGGAGGGAAGGGAGCAAAGCCCAGCTCAGTAGGCATACAATGGCACCTTTCTTCTAATTAAAAAATGTACAACGACCGTGATGTAGAGGCTACGGAGAGGAGATATGAGCTGTTGGGGGGAGAGACAAAGCGAATCGGTACGCGTAGCTCACTTGGCAATGGCAGCAAATCATAATAACGCTCAACTCCAGCTTCTTCGTTTTCACAGAGCCAGGAAAAGGCAGCTTCCCCAACTCCTTCAAATTTGCACTAATAGAATAGCAAGCTTCTTGATTTGAGCTCCAAGGAATTTGCTCGTTCGCCTGAACTTCACTGCGGAGTTAATGGAAGTTGAGAGCCGGAGCATTGCCGAACAGGCCCTTAGTACAAACAGTTGCCAAACTTGAGAGCATCAGAGTCATAAGGTTCATAACTGAAAGTCAATATAACATGTTAGTTGCAACCTTATTTGGTTTCATCATATCTGAACATACACATGCACTTGCTCTCTTTTTGCACCATGGCACAAAATTTGTGATATAAGCAAAAGGAGTTTGCTTCCATGGTTTTGTTCTGGCGCCATTCTCAATGCGCCGTTCATTCACACGCAATGGAATTATCTATACCATTATATATGTACAGGATGCATAATGAAGTATAAGCATAATCTTTCTTTTTGTTAAAAACATTGGCTTTGTGTACATAGATTAATAAAACATATATCATATAAACTCATATATGCTTCAAACTTGTTTCATATAAATTTAATAATTTGATGCAACAATTCAATAATGAGATATTCAAACAAAACTTTGAACTTTTAATAGTGTTTCATTCTGCTTTAGAATTTGATTTTTTTAGAACATGTTGAAACACATTCAAAAGTGGTATTGTTTTGAAGTTCTCCTCGTCATAATCACAATATGCAAACGGATGATAAATTGTACTTTTGGTTTGAAAGATAAAATTGTCTTAAAGTTGGAAATAAAATAACAAAGAATGGGATGGTGGAGCATAGGCTTGTATGTGGTCAGAGAAAGATCTCACAAACTACAAACGTTATTAATGAGAAAAAGATTAAGAAGATCAAAATCAGCCGAATAAGAAGAATAGTAATGCAAAGTGCACCCAAGGGACTCACCTGTGCCTTATGGCATGTTCGTTCCCTCGCATCATATATCCCACAGGCTAATAGTAATGGAAAGTTAATGCAAGCAGATATAGAAGACAATGGACGCTACAGTTCCTGCCTCATACGTGGTTGTCTTGCTGAGATTTAAATAATATAAGAGGGGATTAACAAAATACATGCATACTGTAGGGATTCTCCTCACGGACATGGAGGAAAGGGGCAGCGTGAAGGAAATATGCCCTAGAGGCAATAATAAAGTTATTATTTATTTCCTTATAATCATGATAAATGTTTATTATTCATGCTAGAATTGTATTTACCGGAAACATAATACATGTGTGAATACATAGACAAACAAAGTGTCACTAGTATGCCTCTACTTGACTAGCTCGTTAATCAAAGATGGTTATGTTTCCTAACCATGAACAATGAGTTGTTATTTGATTAACGAGGTCACATCATTAGTAGAATGATCTGATTGACATGACCCATTCCATTAGCTTAGCACCCGATCGTTTAGTATGTTGCTATTGCTTTCTTCATGACTTATACATGTTCCTATGACTATGAGATTATGCAACTCACGTTTACCGGAGGAACACTTTGGGTACTACCAAACGTCACAACATAACTGGGTGATTATAAAGGAGTACTACAGGTGTCTCCAATGGTCGATGTTGGGTTGGCGTATTTCGAGATTAGGATTTGTCTCCAAAGATCTTCGTAGAATATGTAGGAGCCAATATGGGCATCCAGGTCCCGCTATTGGTTATTGACCGGAGACGTGTCTCGGTCATGTCTACATTGTTCTCGAACCCGTAGGGTCCGCACGCTTAAGGTTACGATGACAGTTATATTATGAGTTTATGCATTTTGATGTACCGAAGGTTGTTCGGAGTCCCGGATGTGATCACGGACATGACGAGGAGTCTCGAAATGGTCGAGACGTAAAGATTGATATATTGGAAGCCTATATTTGGATATCGGAAGTGTTCCGGGTGAAATCGGGATTTTACCGGAATACCGGGAGGGTTACCGGAACCCCCCGGGAACCATATGGGCCATCATGGGCCTTAGTGGAAAGGAGAAAGGGGCAGCCCAAGGGGGTTGCGCGCCTCCCCCCTTCCCCTAGTCCTATTAGGACTAGGAGAAGTGGCCGGCCACCCCTCTCCCTCTTTCCCCCTTGGGAATCCTAGTTGGAATAGGATTGGGGGGGGGAGTCCTACTCCCGGTAGGAGTAGGACTCCTCCCGCGCCTCTCCCTCTTGGCCGGCGCCCCCTCCCCCTTGGCTCCTTTATATACGGAGGCAGGGGCACCTCTAAACACACAAGTTGACACAAGTTGATCCACGTGATCG